GGAACCATCCCAATACTCGTCCTTTATTGGCTTGTATTAGTAAATTAAAGGTGTTCACAGATCCTTAAATCAGTGAGTACGCATTTGATAAATATTTCATTTGCTATTGCTTCGCAAGTGAGATTCCTGATGTACATATTCCTCAGTGAATTTTCTTTCATTTGGTGCTGCCTGAGAACAACTCTGCTACTCAATCCATTTTCCAGAAGTACATACTGCCATCTGACAGAATAGGGTTAGCCTCAGAATGATATTTTTAAATAAAATTGGAGTTTTTTGCATGTCTTTTTTGCCCTTTATTATTTGTTTTTAATTCAATGTATACAGAACCTGAATTAAAAACAAATGCAAAAAAAAAAAATCTAACAACATGTAACATTTGTTTTTAACTCAATGTATATAGAACCTGTAGAAGCCTCCAGTGGCGCAGTGGGTTAAACCACTGAACTTGCTGATTGAAAGGTTGGCAGTTGAAATCCAGGGAGCGGGGTGAGCTCCCACTGTTAACTCCATCTTCTGACAACCTTGCAGTTCAAAAATATGCAAATGTGAGTAGATCAATAGGTACTGCTTTGGCAGGAAGGTAACGGCACTCAATGCAGTCATGCCAGCCACATGACCTACGAGGCGTCTACGGACAATGCCAGCTCTTCGGCTTAGAAATTGAGATGAGCAACACCCCCCAGAGTCAGACACGATTAGACTTAATGCCTAGGGGAAACCTTTCTTATATAGAACCTGGGGTGACAATACAAGTCATACAGGACAGAAGGAGATATGGTGATGGCAGGGTCACAGGTCCTTATAGGAGAAGAAGAGAAAGGCGTTTAATACCTATCTCACTTTCCAGTCATCCTGTCAGCCTGAGAAATTTGGAGAGTGAGCCAGACCACTCCCAGAATCTCACCTTGCTCTTAAGTAATGCCAGGTCAATGAAAAATAAAACTCCTATAATCTACAATCTCCTTAAAGACGAGGGAGCTGACCTGGCATGCTTCACTGAAACTTGGCTGGGAGATGATAGCATCCCAACCAAAATTCAATTGCATTGTGGCATGGCAGTTAATTGCCCCATCTACACTGCCCATATAATTCAGTTTCTGAATGGCAGTGTAGACTCATACAGTAGCTGTCCCTCCACCAATGCCTGGAGGCAGTTATGGACTGGATGGGGGTAAACAAATTGAAATGGAATCCAGATAAAATGGAGGTACTACTGGTCTCACATAGGAGCTACATGGGTTTACACTACCCCTGAAAGCTCAGGTTTGCGGTTTGGGGGTGGTTCTGGATTCCTCTTTAAACCTGGAAGTCCAGGTGATGGTAGTTACCAGGATCGCCTTTGTACACCATAAACTGGTGTGCGAACTGCAACCATTCCTTGAAAAATCTGACCTGGTCATAGTGGTACATGCCTTGATTACATCCTGCCTGGACTACTGTAACCACCCAAAGTGCCTTTGGGGAGAGGGGGAGATATAAATTAATTATTATTATTATTATTATTATTATTATTATTATTATTATGCGGAGCTGTTTTTGAAAATGGTTCAGAAACTGCAATTTGTTCAAAGATCGGCAGCTAGGCTGTTAATTGGAGTGGATATTATTTATTTATTTACTCCATTTCTATGCTGCCTTTCTCAGCCCAAAGGTGACTCAAGGCAGCTTACACTGGCATGATTCAATGCCACAATGAACATAAACAAAATTAATAAAACAATTAACACACATTATAAAACTTTCTAAAAACATTAAAGGCCAGTGACTTCCTATTAGCTCATTTTCCAAAGACATTGTCAAGCCGTTCCGTGTTCATTCTTTCCTGGGTTCCATATTCATCCATTACACTGCATTTTCAAAGGCTTGTTCAATTTTTTTCCTGGAATTTCAGTAGGGAGGGAGCCAATCTAATATCCCTAGGGAGGGAGTTCCATAGCCGAGGAGCCACCACTGAAAAGGCCCTGTCTCTCGTCCCCGCAAGGGGTACCCGTGACAAAGGCAGCCTCCCCAGAGGATCTTAAATTCCTAACTGGTTCATAGGGAGAGATACGTTCAGACAAGTAGGCTGGGCTGAAATCATTTAGGGCTTTATAGGCAAAAACCAGCATTTTGAATTGTACCCGGTAGCAAACTGGTAGCCAGTGGAGCTGGCGCAACAAAGGAGTTGTTTACTCCCCGAGCGCTGTTCCCGTTAGCAACCTGGCTGCCGCCGGTTGAACCATTTGAAGCTTCTGAATAGTCTTCAAAGGCAATCCCACATTGAGTGTGTTGCAGTCGTCTATATGGAATGTAACCAGAGCGTGGATTACCATGGCCACATCAGACTTCTCAAAGTATAAGAGAACATACTACCCCACTCCTGAAACAGCTGCACTGGCTACCAATTAGTTTCTGGGCCCGATTCAAAGTGCTGGTTTTGACCTTTAAAGCCCTTCATGGCATTGGTCCCGATTATCTGAGAATCAGATCCCTTTATATACACCTAGGAGAGCATTAAGAACAAGTGGCGAATTGCTAGTGTCCTCGAGTATCCATGACACTCTCCACCTCAAGATGGCAAGAGAGTGACCCCACTCTTTGTGGAATGCTCTCCCAGGGGAGATTAGATTTACACCCTCTCTGTTGGTTTTCAGGAAGAGTCTATAAACCTTCCTTTTCAAGGAAGCCTTCGGAGGGAAGTAATGATATCCGAAGATTAGGAAGGCCATTCGATCTTGCTATATATTGTTAGGGTGGTTTTTTAATTTAATTAGAGGATTTTAACTAGTGGTTTACAGCTTTTACTAATATTTATGGTTTTAACTTGTTTTTCATTTTTTTATTTGTTTGTTTTTACTGGCTGGAAGCTGCCTTGCTCTCTTGAGTGGGCGAAGGTGGGGTATAAATTTCATAAATAAATAAATAATAGTTCAAAGCAGATAATCTGTATTCAGAAAATGGATTATATGGACAGTGTAGATGGGGCCAATGTGGTATTAAACTGCTATTATTTCTCTACTGTTGGTACAGCCTTAGAAACAGGACACCCGACCCCATCAAATAGCTATTTATGAGAGGTGTCACTTAGGCCCCTTCTACATAGCTGTATAAAATCCACATTGGACTGGTTTATATGGCAGTGTGGACTCAGATAACCCAGTTCAAAGCAGATATTGTGGATTATCTCTCTTGATTCTATGGCTGCGTGGAAGGGCCTTTAAATGTCATAAGAGCAATTAAAAACTTTTTACATTTGCAGCAATTGATGCTTTGTCCTATTCCTTCTCCTACATTTTATTTTGCACCATTGTAGGTAAAGTGTCCTCTTAGCATAAGGCTGTCAAGGAAAAAGCATTCATATCAGAAAATATAAGTTTCACCAGTTGTCTAGCTTTTAAAGTACGGCTTTGATTTATGGATCAAAAACGCTCATTTATAATTTTATCTGAACAGCTTTAGGCAATTCTGACAGTTCAAAATTTAGTTTTATTGACCAATGCAGCTAGTCTTCCCACAAGGGGACTAGTAAATACACACACACTACTGCACTGAAAGTGGGGGGGGGGGGGGGGGGGGGGGGGGGGGAGAGGTTATTTGATTCCATGACTAAGTTAAAGTGGAAACCAGAACCGATTTAAGAATAAGTTCCCAAACTTCAGGATAAAATGCTTGTTGTAAAACAAAGTTGCCCTTTAAGAAAGCAGTTGGAAAAAAATCTGAAAAGAAAGGCTATCTATATAGTTTATATGCTAACTGACACAATCCTCTGATACCTGGATATGTCAGTGTGTGCTGTGAGATACTGTGTGGGATCAGTGAACGTCAGAATAAATACAACAGAGAGAAGTAAAAAGAGTATACAGTGCAATAAAATATGAGGCACTGCTGAATCCCAGAATACAATATAAATGGACACAACCAGTATTAAACATCTCTCTTTTTAATTTCAGGGAGAGTGACTGAAGCACATGCTTAACTCTCCTACTAAAAACAATGGGACTGGTGTTTTGCTTTGGTTGGTGTCTCTTGCAACATACAATATAGGGCAGTTCCAAACAGGCCTTTATCCCAAGAGCATCCGCGTTTAAAAAATGCAGATGTTCCTGGGGGCCCATCAACACTCATCCCAGAAAACATGTGTTTCTGGGGTGAATGTCCATATGTTCTTCCAGGACTTCCCAGGAGAACAGCTGGACACTCTACCCCCTCCCCAAAAGCCCTAAAAAACCCTTTAAAAAGGAAAAGTACTTACTCAGTCTCCATTGGAGAGCTGCCGCAGCTATCCTGACACATAGAAATGACATGCCAGGAGAAAGGGGAGCAGGAGTGGTGTCCCCCCCCCCCTTTCTCCTGGTGCATCATTTCTATGCACCAGGAGAGCTGTGGCAGCTCTCCAATGGAGGCTGGGTAAGTACTTTTGTTTTTAAAAGGGTTTTTTAAGGGCATTAGGGGATGGGGTTGATATTCCGACAGTTTTCCAGGTTAATTTAGTCTGGAAAGCTTGGGAATACTGTCTGGACTGCAGACAGTATTCTGCAGTCCAGATACCAGAAGTAGTGGGTTTATCCCATGCCTTCCAAGAAGGTGCAGAATAAACCCAATATTAAATTAATTCACCACAAACCAGGGTTTTCCTGATATGTGGTAGATTAATTCCGAATTTGCCAGAACATTGTCTGGACAGCCCCCTTTTTATTGCAGAAGTTTCTGCAATAAAGGGGCTGTCTAGATACAGCCATTAAAAATATCACACTATCTAGAGAAGGAAGGAGGTTAATTTAAGAAAATTTAGCAAGTTTGTCTTTAAAAACTTACTAAATGATTTTAAGCCACTTTTAATTTAGGTACACTCCATTGTAAAAGCACCATCTTCCAGAATCTCAATTTATTCTCCTATTGTGAATCTTCTGTAATATACAAACAAATCTCTGTAGGGAAGCAAATCAATAAAGTGTCTGATGTGATTAGCCATGTTTTAAAATTCATCAAGGTAACTCAACATAAAATAAACTGCTTACTTGTCAGTATTTTCCATGTCTTCTTTTCATCATCATAATACTGAACCAAATTGCTGGGTAACCGGTCAGGTCCAGGAGGCAGTCCTCCAACCAATAAAAGCATTTTCTTGTTGGAGCGAATTCTTCACCCAAAAGAAAAGAGAAAATGAATAACCACATTATTGGGGAGTACTTTTTGTAGCAACAGAATCATAACCATCACGAGAATGTTCAGAGCTTGCAGTCTTCTATTTCATTCCTTTTTGTTTCTTCTCCCTATCATGTCTCAACTTTTTGAATCAAGCAGGACAAAAAAAAAATAACCAGAAAAGCTGCACAGCCTTCTACTTGTGAAATAATAAGTTTCCTTTATGCAATTTGTTAAAGGTTCATTCTAGAATGACCTTTTTCTCATATTATCCCTTTAAATCATCACTCTTTACAGTTGAATACACATGAAATGCTCTGGAGTTGTACTAAGGTTAAGCATTAAAGTTGCATGTCAAAAATCGTATTAGTCAAAATCATTATTATAAGCCATTCTACACCCAAAGAACCTTGAAAAATTAAGGTTGTGCAGACAGTTTGTCAGGCAGGTCTTTAATCACACATTAAAACCTTAAAATTCCAATACGCCTGTAACAATTAACAGCACTTTGCTCATAGTTAGACAATGAACTCGACTTCGTTACACAGGACTTTTGTTGTTTAATTTAGCCCAGTCCCTTGCATCCCCTCCTTTGCCTCCCCAGCCCCTCCTTCGCCTGCTCTCCCTCTGAGCACCACTGGCTATAGCAACACCAATTGGTAAAAATGAGACTGTGATGTTGTTGAGAGCCTCCCCAGAGTGGAGCCCTGCCAATGCTTGCCACTGATCCAGCGGCATGAACTTGCTCAAGTGTGCAAAGTCACTCTAATTCCCTCCCTCTGTTTTTCTACCTTCTCCCCCAGGGGGCAGCCACTGAAAAGAGTGACTACCCACCCATCAAGAGCTGGCAATTCGCTGCTATTAACCGTGACCGTGATTCCCAATCTGCCTGGCAGTTCTTAAGAACAGGACTGCAACGTCTCATATGCAGTAAAAGCCATAATATGCACCCTGGCCTCCATCGCTATACCTGATGAATGCACGTTGCTTTGTAACTCTAATGGGTTTAACACAGTTTCAAGGGAAGAAGGGAGAGGAGACCTAGACCTTTAGATGGATAGTGATGCTTTAATAGTAATTTTACATATAATTCAACACACAGGAGTTGCACAAAGCCAGGAAAGTGATACAGATCTAAATAGGGAATGATGGCAAGGCAATTCAATCTACTGTGATGTGGAATTTTAACTCAGACGCATGTTACACATCAACACATGTGCCCAATATAATGCGTCACCATATTATTACCATTTTTGTCTTGCAGACTCACTTGGTATTATTATAACTATTCTGCATTTTTATTGTATCAACACAGAATTATTCAGGTACACTCAAAGAGAGACCAATACAAATACTCTTATTAATAAAAAACACTCCTATAGCGGGAGCCTTAACATTAATGTCTATGTGCATTTAAAAATGATAGCAGATGTTATCAAGGTGTATCTTCTTCACAAATTAATTTACATGTATATTATCAATATGCAAACTTATTTAAACCATCTGTAGAAACTAAACTCAAATAAGTTTGGGAATCCCTTCTATTCCGCAGGAAACATGTTAAGGGTTGTTGCTAAAACAAGTGTAAATGAATTAAGGATGTTTTCTCAGAAATCCTTCAAACTTCTATATAGGAAGTCAATGTATCTCTATGTGTCTACTTATTCGCACTATTTGTATAGTGCCCTTCTCAACCCTGAAGGGGACTCACAAAGACTGTTGCAAGGTGAAGTGGCCCTCTGTAATGTTACTGGATTGGCTGTTGCTAGGTGAAGGAGCCCTCTGTGATGTCACTGGGAAGGAAAGGTGACAGGTGTATGAGGGGACAGGAGGAAGAAAGAAAGAAAAGAGTCACAAAGAGAACCATATTGCTCTCTCGGAGCTGGAGAAATGAGGAAGGGGAGGGGAGGGGAGGAAGGGAGGAAGGAAGGAAGGAAGGAGGGGAAAAAAGTATGGAGAAGGAAGCAAGTGAGGGGAGAAGAAAGGAAAAGGAGGGAGGAGGAAAAGGTATGAGGGGAGGGAAAGAGAAAGAAGGGTTTGAAACAGGGGGCAGTGGCCCTCCTCCGACACCCGGGCAATGCCAGGTATATACACTAGTACTCAATAAAACACGAAGAGGCAACCAATATTTTTGGCAAGTGGACCATAACTAAAGCTCGTTTATGATACACCATTATTTAAATGTATACACTCCCTGTTTGCACTTGGGGTGTTTTTTATCTAGTGTGTGTGGTTTCTTCATCCACAGTTTCTGTTGTCCATGACTTGAAAATATTTTTAAATAAAAAAAGCAAACCTTGATTTTGCCATTTATGTAAAGGACACCATTGTATAATGAGACCAAAACATCTCTGAATTATGGTATTCATGGGGGATCATGGAACCAATGCACAGTAGATACCAAGAGTCCACTCTATATCTATCAAGCCAGAAATGGGTAGCACTGGAGGCACAGACTATGCCTGATATCAAAAATAGATCCCCAATACTTCTTTCTCTTGTCCAGCAATGTCATACATCCCTGCTGCATATGATGCCTGAAAGTTAATGGCAACATTTATTTATTTATTTCCTTCATTTTTACCCCACCTTTCTCACCCGAAGGTAAAACCAACAATAAACAGCAACAAAATTTAACATGTAACAAAATTTGAAAAAAATATCTGTTCCTGGTTTGAAAGTGTTTTTCTCTTTAATTATGTGGTACTTTGAAAGTAGTTGTTATACTCCAGAAACTTAGTTTATATCGCTGACACAAACTATGCTGAATTGCTTGAGGCTATATGAGATACCCATTGAAAAACTATAGCAAAATTACTGTAGGATGTCCCACAAAAACAAAGATTTTGCAGTTTAATAAACTTTCCCCATGTTTTATGATAGAACCAATTAGAAATGACATTTATAACCCAAGAGCAAGGATCATGTTACATAATATAGTGGGGACACTCCCCTTATTGTGGGTTGGAATTCAATTTCCTTCCTTCCTTCCTTGTACTGTTTCCCATGAATTCAAAAAGAATTGTGCTCTTTGAAACCAGTTTGCAACCAATTTTGGTTGTTTCAGAGGCAGTCACTGGACTACATTGCAGTCTGAAAACTCTTTCCTTCATGCACACTTTTCTGCAGTTACATTTGTTTTTGCGCTAGTGACAACAGTAATGCCAAAAGAAAGAAAGAAAGAAAGAAAGAAAGAAAGAAAGAAAGAAAGAAAGAAAGGGAGGATTGGCTTCTGTCTTACTCTCCTATCCTAGTATCTGGAATGGCACAAGCAATTAGTGCAAATTAATGTAATATTTTAGTACCATTAACATGGGGGAACATTTGCCAGCTTCCCATCCATTTGGCACAGATAATAGTATTCCAGGCATTGGTGAGGGAGGGCTCTCCTCCTTCGTCTTCTGGTACCAGAGCAACAACAGGATAAAGAGGTTGAAAATGATATGAATGGGGGGGGGGGGGGGGGGGGGGACAGTAGGAAGACTTACCCTTCCTGCTACATCATGTTTTAATCCAAGTTAGAGAAAAATTGTTAGGACAGTAATTTTTGCTTTTCATTGAAAGGAACACTGTAAACCTGTCTAAATTCATCTTCTGAGTTATGCATGGATAAAGCTTTGAATCATCACTACTTGTGACAGATATACTGCAAGTTGGCCACCCAACAGTACCTTGTTCAGCAAGAGAAACCCCTCATTTTCTTTAGAAAAAAGAGCTGAGCAATTACTATGAAGGTGTCATCTTGCTGCACATTCATATGGAATTGGAAAGGGCACTTGGTACTAGCTCCTTTCCCAATTTATCTTCAGTTGTCACACCAAGACTGCCTCTTACAATACAATAATGATTGTAATCTGTTCTGAAAGAAAACAAACAGACTAGCTAGAGCAGCAGGCACTAACGGAATTAGCAAATGTAAATTTGGGATACTTCAACCCACAAGTTTAGAATCAGTCTCACAGTGACTGCCAACATGAATTGCCTTTAGACTCATGACATATATATGAAAATCTGCATATGCCTCGTTCTTCCCAATGTTTCCAGAAAGGGAGTAGAATAAACCATTTTTCATTTGAGTTAAGGTTGGCTGAACACATAACAAGAGACTGAACAATGTTAAGCAATAAGTCAGTTAAGCATGGTCATCCTTAATAACAGAGTAAATTGTTTATTTCAACCCCCTTGTGTAACATGTTCTATTTCTATCACAATCAACTTCAACTGTACTTTAAAATTCTAAAAACCACGATAAGGTTGGCCAATAAAGAAGCTTATTTCAATCTGTTATTAGTTTTTGCATTTCAGTCTCATCTAAATAACCCCTTTCAAGCCTCATAGCACAGGGAAGAAACAAAGAACAATAAAAGTTCACTTGTCTTAGGTGTAGGATAAATGATGACATTTTGCTTTGAAAGTATCCAAATAGTCATAACAAGTGGTATATACTTGGGCCCAGCATCAGGATTGTGTATGCATAGCTCTGTGACATAAACTAAACATCTCTTATTTAGTGGGGAGGAGAAAAGAGAGACAGGATTAAAGCCAAAACTCAATGTTTACTGCCAAACAGTCCCATTGGACAGCACCAATTTGTGCATGGGACATCAGTCAATTTAGAAATGCACACTGAAGCCATCTTTTTACATATTTGTCCCCAAGAACATTTATCGATGATCTGTGAATGTTAGGTTCAAATTCCACTTGTTATATACAAATTTATGGAAATCACTACAGTTAATAGTCTCAGAGATCGCAGAGATCTTCATAGGTTAAAACAACCACTTTAATTCCATCCATGCAAACATTTGTAGATACTAGTAACAATATTTCAGTGTTGCCAGAATATGTTCAATAAGGCAGCTCATAGTTATTCTGAGTAATTGGCTTCCACAAACTTTCCATTGGCAGACTCATACATAAAGCATCACTGTAGTCTGACCCGGGCGTTAACAAGATATGAGCATCTATGATGAGATTATAGTTATTCAAGAGATA